CCAAAAAATGCTGTCCAAGGGCCATTCTCAACAACTCATATGCAGGTAATGCTGTTGTTTCAGGCTGTAAAGTCAGTATTTTCTGAAGCATTCGAAAACCTCGTTTTTTTATGCTCACAGTTGTGGCCGTCAGTAGTGTTGATTTTTTGCGAGGAAGGAGAGGAAGAACGGATAAAGGGTGACCCCCTCCCCTTTGTTTTGTTGGAAGAGCGAGAAAAAGGCTGGGAAATCGCTGGTGTGAAGAGGAAATTTTAAGGGACCCTTCAAATTTGAGCTCGAAATTTTCGGCGGAAAGAACCGATCTTGAGCTGAAAGGCCCTGATTTTACTAAAAACAAAATTTCGCGAAAAAAATGAATTCTGGTCTAGAATTATGTAGTAAATTTTATAGTGAACGAATAAAACTGGTTAAAAGACCTAATAAATAGATAGATGAAGGGCGCAAAAGGGGGGGGGGGCGAGGGTGAATAAGAAGTAGAATTGGAATGTGCACTGAAAAATACATGGGGTAAGTGAAGGAGAGTGTGCCTAATAGAGTTTGTGCCGCAAATCTGGACTGTTTTTTTTTGGAACGAATGTTTTTTGATGTTGTAGGTAGAAAAAAAATTCAGGCCTGGTACAAACTGGGATATTTTACACCCGAACTACGTGTACGAAATGGACAGAATGCGGAACGGGGCTTCGTGCCACTTGGTGATTTGATTGCTGTGAACGGCGAGGAGATGCCGTTCAGGCTGACCCCCAATGCTGCTGACAAATCACCGGTAATGCAACTTCCCATGCAACAATCTCAGGATATGAGGTAAACATCCCACTGGTTTTTTCCGAATTTTATACTTTATTGGCCGTGAATGAGCATCACTTAAGCCGATTGTAGCAAGCAGGTTGACCCTGAAAGCCTAGATGGGCGAAGGCGTGATAGATTACAGCATGAAAGAGCATTATGAGAGAAGATAAGAGCGAGATAAGACGTTTCAGTCCATTAAGTAATATACGTCTAAACTCAACACCACGCGACAGGACCTCGTGGCAATATGAGGATTACAGCGCTTAATGGAAAAGGAAAAGGAAGCAGCGGAAGAGGAAACGATATGATTGTGGGGTAACTGGGAGTAAGAGTAGGTTGAAGAGGCAAAGCAAGAAAAAGATTTTAAAAGAAGAAGTTTGTATGTGTGTGTTTGTTTGTGTGTGTGTGTATATATATATATATATATGTGTGTGTGTACAGTATGCTGTTAGTTTTATCTATTCTTTTTTTATTACAGCCGAAACATATGGAGCCATCGTGATTACGGGGCATCACTTATCGAAGCGGCAA